GACGGCGTTCATGGATCTCATGAACCGGGTGTGCAGGCCCATGTTGGATTGATCGGTGATCATGTTCATCGATGATATTTTGGTGTACTCGAGGTCCAGAGAGAAGCACGAGGAGCATCTGCGAGAGATTCTTAGAGTATTGAGGGCTGAGAGGCTTTACACCAAATTCTCCAAGTGTGATTTCTGGTTACGAGAGGTCCAGTTTCTGGGACATCTCGTTAATCAAAATGGGATAGTTGTCGACCCGACCAAGATTGAGGAATTTATGCGGTGGGAGGTGCCGAGATCCCCGTCTGAGATCAGGAGTTTTTTGGGTTTGGTCGGCTTCTATCGAAGATTTATCAGATATTTCTCCAAGATTATTGTTGCTCTTACCAGATTGACCCGGAAGGGTGTTACTTTTGCCTGGGGGCCCGAGCAGCAGGCCTCATTCGAGTCTGTTTTCCAGAGATTGTGCGAAGCTCTAGTGTTAGCCCTTCCCGAGGGAGTAGAGGACTTTGTAGTTTACTGTGATGCATCTATATTGGGGTTGGGTGTGATGTTGATGCAGAGGGGGCATGTGATAGCATATGCATCGAGGCAGTTGAAGCCTCATGAGACGAGGTATCCAACCCACGATTTAGAGTTGGGGGCGGTGGTGTTCGACCTCAAGATCTGGCACCACTATCTGTATGGAGTCTGGTGCACCATATACACAGACCATAAGAGTCTGAAGTACCTCATGGATCAGCCCAACCTGAATATGAGACAGAGGAGGTGGTTGGATGTAGTGAAAGACTACGACTGCGAGATCTTATATCTTCCAGGCAAGGCTAATGTGGTAGCCGATGCCTTGAGCCATAGAGCAGAGACTGATCCGATTCGAGACGTGTGTATGAGGATGACGGTGATGAATCCAGTCCTAGATACCATCCGAGAGGCTCATGTGGAGGTTGTGAGGCTAGAGAACCTCAAGAGGGAGCGAGTGATCGGACATGTTTCCGAGTTTGAGATGGATAGTCGGGGGCTTATGACTTTCCGTGGGCGGATTTGGGTGCCCTATACAGGTGGAGCTCGGTGCATACTGATGGAGGAGGCACATAGATCGAGATTCTCGATCCATCCAGGAGCCACTAAGATGTATTTGGATCTGAAGATAGATTACTGGTGGCTGTGTATGAAGAGGGATGTGGCATGGGTAGTTGAGTGGTGCTTGACTTGTCACTGGGTTAAGGCGGAGCACCAGCACCCACATGGCCCGTTACACCCTCTAGAGATTCCCCAGTGGAAGTGGGAGCAGATTTCCATGGATTTTATCACCAAATTACCAAGAACCGCGCAAGGTGTCGACGCGATATGGGTGATTGTGGACCGGTTGACGAAGAGTGCTCATTTCCTTGCTATCAGTGAGAGCTCTTCTGTAGAGAGATTGGCCGAGATTTATATGAGAGAGGTGGTGGCACGACATGGAGTGCCGACATCGATAGTGTCAGATCGGGATGTGCGTTTTACTTCCAGATTCTGGAAGAGGTTTCAAGAGGAGTTGGGTACCCGATTTCACTTCAATACCGTATAATACCCACAGACTGACAAGCAGAGTGAGCGGACGATTCAGACGCTTGAGGACATGCTGCAAGCATGTGTTATGGACTTCGGAGGAAGTTGGGACACCTATTTGCCCTTGGTTGAGTTTTCTTATAACAACAGCCACCATTCCAGTATTGGTATGCCTCCCTTTGAGCTCTTATATGGGAGGAGGTTTCGGACTCCCATCTGTTGGGGAGAGGTAGGGCAGAGAGTGATAGGTAGCACTAAGATAGTGCTCAAGAAAATTGAGCAGATTCGGCAGGTTAGACAGAGGTTACTGACAACTCAGAGTCACCAGAAGAGTTACACAGATTGGCGACGATCCGAGCTTGAGTTTCAGGTTGGAGATTTTGTCCTCCTAAAGGTATCCCCGTGGAAAGGGGTGATCCGATTCAGGAAGCAGGAAAATTTGGGTCCTAGATATATAAGTCCTTTCAGAGTGACTGCCAGAGTGGGGAAGGTAGCTTAATTGGTTGGAGCTACCTGCAGAGTTGAGCCAGATTCATAACACCTTCCACGTGTCTCAGTTGAGGAAGTCTGTAACCGATGAGATGGTAGTGGTACCCTTAGAGGACATTCAGGTTGATGCTAGCCTGAATTACATTGAGAAACCGATAGCAATTTTGGATAGTAAAGTTAAGACCCTGAGGAACAAGGAGGTTCGACTGGTTAAGGTGCAGTGGGAGCACCGTAGGGGGTTCAAGTGGACTTGGGAGTAGGAGTACGAGATGCGCAAGCAGTACCCAAAGTTGTTTCTGGAGCATGAATTCGAGGGCGAAGTCTGATTCTAGTGGGGGAGAATTGTAACATCCCGACTCCCAGGTATATTATTTATGCATTTATTTTTGTGTTGTTTGAGCAACTCGGCAAGTTGGATGCCCCAACTCGTCGAGTAGAGGCGGATTGACCAGGTGGATTTTATGACCAACTCGACGATCCGGAGAGACCAACTCGGCGAGTTGGCGCTGTGAGAGGAAACCCTAATTCTCTGGGTTGGATCCTATTTAAAGGACCTTAAGCCCTCATTTCCGCCTCACCAGCACCTTACTCCCCTGTGTGAAACCCTAATCGTCTATAGTGAGCTAAGAGAGAAAGAGAGCTAATCTTTGGGCATTTTAGTGCATTTTTTGAAGAGAAGAGTGGAGTATCAAAGCAAGGATCGAGAAGAGACTATTGGATCTGGTGTTAATTCATCTAGAGATTCTGTTGAAGGTAAAAAGTCTCCACCTTGCTCATTAGTTTGGTTAGATCTCATTTTATGGAGTTTTAGGGCTTATTCCATCTTTCCTTGAGGCTTTGAGTGTTTTGAACTCACCAAGAGTTTGAGACTTCCGATCTGGACCTTGTGAGGTCCCTAGAGTCCAAAGGTCCCAGCTTTATCTAGCTATTGAGTAGCTTTTATGCTTAAGACCCTAAATAGAGTTTGTTTTGGCATTTCAAGCCCTAAGTGCCATGTATGGATGTAAAGATTGTAGCTTTATGTGGTATTTCAGCCTTGGGAGGCTAGATCTAGAATTTGGGGTTGTAAATCTGCTTTAAACGTCTGAATGAGAAATGAGACTTAAGGGACTCACCGAGTTGATGAGCCAACTCGACGAGTCGGCTCGGGTTTTCCCCGATGAGTCTGGACATAAGTAACTCGGCGAGTTGATGAGAAAACTCGACGAGTTAAGTTGGGTTTTTTGCGACTTTTCTGAAGGAACAAGGGGACTCGAGGAGTCACATAGATGCACTCGACGAGTCGGGTCAACATTGACTGTTGACTCGAGTGTTGACTTCAGTTAACTTTAGGGTTTGGTCAAGACAGGGTGTACGGAGACCATGGAGGGGTAGAATGGTCTTTTACCCATTCCAAGAGTTAGGGAGAGAGAGTACTCTTTGGTTATTTAGAGTTGTGAATGGAGTGTTTATTAGAGATAATTATCATATGTGTTAGACGGAGGCTAGATCGGTGATTCATGTACGAGGTTTATTTGCTTGCTTACGAGGTGAGTCTTCTCACTATACTTACCTAGAGTGGTAATCTTTGTGTGACCGGAGGGTCTTATGTGCTTATATTGATTATTGTGATATCCTGCATTATGTCCTTGTGATTTATGTTGTGTATTATTCTGAGCTTACTGAGTTAGGACCGGAGGGTCCACCCGAGTTGTGGGATCGGAGGGTTCCACTGAGACACATTGACCGGAGGGTCTTATTTGGGTATGGTCATGAGAGGCTAATGAGATGTGTGTGGTATTTTGGGGAACTCACTAAGCTTCGTGCTTAACGTGTTATGTGTTATGTGTTTCGGGTACTTCTCAGGATCACGGGAAGGCACCGACTTGATTGTACACATGAGGCGGAGTTATGTTTTGAGGATCCTGGATTGTGTTTAAACAATTTATGAACATGTGTTTTTGATAACTTGACATTTGGGAGATTTGTGAACTATGTTATGAGAATTATGTGATTTTTAAAAATGAAAATTTTGTTTGAAAATTTACGGTGTTACACATGGACTGTAACTCGGGAGAAGGCTTCGGCGATTAAGTTAGATCAATGTGTACGAGGAGATGGTCAGGTCTTGGTCCAATCCAGTTTAGGCCCAACTATTCAGGGGGTAGGTTGTGTGCACTTAAGGGACTAGGCTATGTGCACTTTAGAGGCCTTGCAGCACACGACTAGCTGGGCCTAAACTGGGTTTGCCCAAACTTAACCTAATTGTCCATTGACCTAAATTTATAAATAAAACACCTCATCCTCCATAAAGATGACATCTCATTCTCTAACATGAGCCTCCAATGTATACATACACTCTTCCCACTAAGATGGTTCTCCATCTAGGAGAAACCATCTCCTCATAGACAACTAGGAATCAAATCGGGAGCCCACTAACGACACATATTCCACATTTGACACCAAGCCCCAATAGTCTGATTCCATGTCACATCAGTTGGTGTTATGACTACTTGCACTTAGCATAAAGAACTTAATATTACTAAAACGTGCAATGAACTTTGGTTTTTGTCCACGCTTAGATAACCATATGTTTTTTCATACTCCTTTACCTAGTAAACTTATTTGAATTATGAAATGCCTTTAACTTAACAAATTTACTTTTGTTATTGTTAATTTACGAAATGCCTTTCTTATTTTGCGAATTTGTGTTTCTATAATTAACAAATAAAAGCTTTTTGTATTAGCCTACTAGGCATTATTCGTAGAGTAATTTACCAAATATTAAAAAACATTTCCCATATACAATCTTATAAAATTTGTGATTATTCCTATAGTCCCCTCCATTTCTCTTATTTTAGAACATAATCCTTTAAAAAAACTAGATGGTGGGTTTTTTTTTCTTCTGTTTTTTAGTGAAATCAAAGATTCTGGAAGTCTTGGTCCCACTATAGATCTTCTGCTATCCAGTTTTGTCTATATATCACCACAATCTCCTTTCTTTCCATGACCCCTCATTTCTTTTGCTTTTTTCTTCATTGGTCCGATATATTTGCATGCAGTCGGAAATTTGATCACACGCTGTTAATTCAATGAAAGAGAGCAGTACCAGTGGTGGCGCCGGAAGAAAACAAGGGGCGGCCTCACCTTGTGCCGCTTGCAAGCTTCTGCGGAGGAGATGCTCTCATGACTGTGTTTTTGCTCCCTATTTCCCAGCCGACGAGCCTCACAAGTTCGCCAGTGTTCATAAGGTGTTCGGTGCTAGCAATGTCAACAAAATGCTCCAGGTTAGCCGTTGCATCTCCCTTTTCTTCCTCCTCCTCCTCCTCCTCCTCCTTCATCATCATCACCACCACCACCACCTCCACCGCGCACTGCATTCTTTCTTGCTTAGCAAATCAAAAGACTTGGAACGGTTAAACCGTTAAACAGTCTTACTTTCTTTTAACCATTAAAAAGTTGAAACAATTGAGTTCAATCAACCGACCAAATAACGCTAACTCAACCACAAACTCGGGTACCCGTTTAGCATAACATTAAGTCACTTGAATATGTCCAATCAAATCTAAATTTAGATTTGTTAAAGATGTTGAGTTAAAATCAGATTTGGTAAAAGTCAAAATGCAACAAAAGTCATTGAATTTGTTGTGGGACAAGAGAATTATATAAAACCACTACATCTCGACTTTGACATTTTGTTCTTACCAAATGTACAACTTTTAATGCGTTTGTTATAAGAGTGGCTACATTAAGACTTATGTCGGGGCATTGACCGTAAACCCTAGTGTTTTGTCACTTATTCACATCTGTAACCGTTTTACTAAATACAGAAATTATGACGGATTTTGCAAATCAATAGTTTGGTGGTATGGAAATCTTTTTAATAAAACGTAGCAACTAGCAATCGTTATTGGAAACCCTTGGTTCCACTTCCATCTTTTGTCATGTTAAGAGCATTTTTTTAACTTTTTTGTTTTTGTATTTAATATTTGAGCAACATGGCAAATAGTGCACTATATCACTATCTTGTGGATTCTCGATCTTCAACAAAATCCTCATGTCAATTCTTTGAATAGTAGTTTTTTGATACTCACTTACAGCTGCATTCGTCCCCTTTTACTAATTTATGTGGTTAAACTAGATGTATGAGGATTTAGCAATAATTGTAACTTCAACCAGCGAATTTCGTCTGCATTTATGTTTCGAGACTAGATTTCTGTACGGGTTTTGGAGTCTTTTCTATATAAATAATATTAATGTTTAATAACCAAACAATCAAATTTCTTTGAAACATCAAATTAACCATTTATAATACAACTACAAATAAACAATTTAGAACCACATTGAGAGGATGCGGGTACATCCGCTTTTATGTCGTTTTTATAATACAAGTTTTGCGACAAATATTCGAACGGGCTTTTTTGCAACGACTTCGGTTATTTAACTGTTGAAAATGAATGGGGCCAACGTTAATTTACAGTCAAGGATTGGTTATGAAGTACTTTCAAGTACTTCAATATATATATATATATATATACATATATATATATATATATATATATTATATAAACTCATAATTTTAGAATAAACTACATAAATACATTTTATAATATATTATTTATGAATAAAAAAATAAACACATGTCATTTTACCATATCTTAATTATATATATTTTTATTAAACCTACTTTTATATATATATATATATATATATATATATATATATATATATATATATATATATATATATATATATATTCTTTTGTCATTTCAAGTCATATTAGACAGGTTGTCTCCTCTTTTTATTTTATATCATGATTTTCCATCATTTCCTTAGACTTTTTTCTCATTCATTCGCCTCCTTTTTTTCTGTCTACAAGTTTAAATACTTTCCGCAAGAAACAATCCACCACCCGTTTTTTAATCTTTTGCATCGGAGTTTTTGTTATAATGTATGAAAAACACATTATCTTGTATATATAAACAACCGTAACGGAGTTGCTACAAGATAAATATGAAATCAACACGATTTTTTAATGTGGTTTGTCAAAATGAATGGTCATCATTTCAAAATGACATAAGCTAGTTTTAACACCCAAATTATGATAATAAAGATTATTTTCTCAATGTAAATATCTCCTTTTTAACAAAGTAATGTAAGATGCGAGTATTTGATACACTGCAAGTTAGGGGTGAGCATATGGACCGGTGGATTAGACCGGACCGTTCTTTTTGGACCCCCGGGCCGGTTCTCGGTTCTAGGAATCCATCAAAACCGGTACAGTTTTTTCCCGACCCGGTCCGGTTTTTACGGGGTTTAGAACCGGTTGGACCCGACTTTTTAAAAAAAATTGTACTCTGTGAAATTTTTTAAACAACCATAACTCATTCGTTTTAAGTCGGATTGACACACGGTTTTTTCCAACGTTTAATTTACAGTTAGTAGATGAACTTAGACTATAATTTTGTTGATTTTCGTATTATATTCAATGAGTTACGGTCTTTCAAAGTTGAGTTATCAATGTTGAAAAATTTCAGCTTTTCAGCAATATTTTTAAAATTTTGTAATCTGTGAAAATTTTTAAACAACCATAACTCATTCGTTTTAAGTTGGATTGACACTCGTTTTTTTTTTTTTTGTTTAATTTACAGTTTGTAGATGAATTTAGACTATAATTTTGTTGATTTTGGTATTATATTCAATGAGTTACAGTCTTTCGAAGTTGAACTATCAAAGCTGAAAAATTTCAGTTTTTTAACAACATTTTTAAAATTTTGTAATCTGTGAAAATTTTTAAACAACCACAACTCATTCGTTTTAAGTCGGATTGACCTGCGGTTTTTTCCAACATTTAGTTTACAGTTTGTAGATTAATTTAGACTATATTTTGTTGATTTTGGTATTATATTCAGTGAGTTACAATCCTTCAAAGTTGAGCTATCAAAGCTTAAATATTTCAACTTTTTAACTATTATTTTAGATTGTAATTCTGAATTTTATGTATCTTTGATAGATAAATCATATGAAAGGGATCTTGATGAACTTGATTTATATGTTAGTTGATTTTATTTGGAAAATTAATTTTGCAAGTTATAATATTATAACATCAAGATATATTAGTTATGCATGGAACGGAAACGTAATCATTTTTACAAGTTATATTGTATCAAACCAATAATATATTCGTTTTAACGAGTTCTATCAAACTCAAAAACTTATTTTAACGACTTGTACTCTATGCAATTAAAGTTGTACCGGTTCAAACGGGTCCAAGAACCGGAAAACTCGGACCTGGACCCGAACCCAGACATGGACACGGACACGACTCATCTGGTCCACAATATTCTCCATAATCGGTCCGATCCAAGAGTCGGTCTGGTCCGGTTCAGTCCAAATGCTCACCCCAGTGCAAGTTATTATATATATAATATATATATATATATATATATATATATATATATATATATATATATATATATATATAACCCTTAACTTGATTTACTTCTAAATTTTTTGAAATTTTACTATTATCTTCTTTTTAAATCACATCTTTCCGCTGAACACCTAACAAACTATAAATATTTTAGTTGCAAATGAAATTATGTACAACGAGGATAATGGTGAAATTTCTAAGACTTTAAAAGTAAATCTAGTTAAGAGGTGAATTTTAAAAACTTTGAACAATTAAAATGTATATAATATACAAAACGACCTAGTATGGTTGGTTTGGATACTAAGTTTACTTATAAACTTATATACATACATTTTTATTTTATATATATATATATATTATATATATATATATATATATATATATATATATATATATATATAAAAGTCTATTTGAGAATGAAACAAACATTCTAAGAACAATTAGTTTAAATCTAGACTACACATCTTTTCATTGCCGCTAAAGTATTTTGGTATAGCGGTGTCACGGAAAATGTAATATTCACATCACTATTCAGCATCACCGCTTCCCTATTTTCACAACCGTCACCGCTGCAACCACCAAAATCATCTCTGATACCACTGCCACCAGCTCTTCCACCTTTACCACTGCCACTAAATTTTACGAAAATTGTTGAAATTGTAACCCTTATTAAGTATTAACTCTAAGTTCTTAAACAAAAGTAATATTCATGTTGCGCTGTATAGCTTTTTGGAATGAATTAATAGGAGTGTGAAACACAAATGTTTTAATCAATAATAAAAAATAGAATACAAGTCGTCTATAATGTGTTTTGGTCAAATGATTCTAAGGTAGAAGTGTGAAAAATTAAAGTACTGTGCACGGAAGGGGTTCAACCACCTTTTCCTTATAACTAATGAAATATGTTTACCAATTTACTTAAAAAAATCTCCAAAGGAAAAAGCAACTTCATGCTATGAGAACTTTATTCTTTTTCTTCAAGCTTAGATTTATTTTTTATTATAATTATTGTTTTCTTTTTAAATTAAATGACATATTTAATATTTGTCCTAATCGATCAGTAATGATGACAATGGACAAGCTTGTTTTCTTTTGATTTAAAATAATGAAATCATAGCTCAAGTCTTTGGGCCCCAAACGGGATGATATTTCTTGAAGCCGCGAGGATCCCTATGTGTGCCCCTTTATCATATGAAATGATTATGAATGTGTGTTTATGGTCATTTCTTGGATTTCAAAAGAACAAATATATATTTGATTTTATCCTTATAAATTATTTGTACATAACTTTTAATATAGGAATTACCTGAGCACCACAGAGGAGATGCGGTGAGCTCAATGGTGTACGAGGCAAACGCCAGGATCAGGGATCCAGTGTATGGTTGCGTGGGTGCTATATCATCCCTACAACAACAGATAGACGTACTTCAAGCACAATTGGCAGTGTCACAGGCTGAAGTTGTTCACATGCGGATGCGCCACTTCTCTTCCAGTCCTGTCAATCAATCACCAGAAAACATCTCGCCACCATCTCGACACCACCAATCACGAACACCTACCAGGTCCCTTTTTGGCATGGACATGGTGGTTGACCAAACTAATATGGGCATGGGGGAGTCCTTATGGTCCTCATGTAACTAGCAACCATATTTTTCCTTATTACTTGCTATATTGAGGGATTCCTTGTTTGTCACATTTCGAATTTTTTTGTTTTTTGTTTTTTGTTTTTTTGTTTTTTTTCTTAATATATTATACCTTATTATATAAGATATATATAATATATGTAACGTATATCTCTCTCTCGCATACCGCAAGAAGAAGATGATGACGATATTGATGATATATAATTAACCATATTGTAAATTTTTAATTATGATTCACTCCATGGTATACTATATATAGTGTTTCGATTTAGTTGATAATGATTTTTCTTTATCATTGATTATTTTCTAGAATGTTACAAAGATCTTAATTCTGAATTATATATGATGGATTGGTAGTAGTCGAGTGAGTTTGGACTTTGGACAATCACCCATGGAATTGAATCCAAATGATTCATTATTGCTTTCTTCGATTTAATTATTGATAAATAATGTATTAAATTAAATGTAGAAAAAAGTATAGTATTAAGATAAATTACAAATTACAAGTAAAAACGCACGTTTAGATCATTTTATTTTTAACAAATATCATTTCAGAATTTAATGTATTAAGTAAGAAAACAATTAAAATGTTGTAAACATTTAGATACACTTTAACAACTTTCTATCTTTTCGGCCCAGCTAGCTTATTTATTTGTAACAAATCCTTAATTTATTATGCATATTTAACATGCTATAGAGAATTGCAATTCAACTTAACATATTTTTATATAAATTATAAATTGAAACTGATGGGAAATACAATAATGGTTTATTGTTGAGTTTTCATGATATGGATGGTGACCGTGCATGAAAATATGATATGCAAACCATGAGGTCCACTATGATTGTTCTAGAACATCATCATCATCATCTTTATGTATGCAGATGCAAAAAACTAAGAATGGATGAGTCATGCCATGCCATGACACGTTAATGGCCAATCATCATCATGTCCACAAAACACATGGAGAAAACAACATAATGTGTGTATATATATGTTGTTTCTTGTTTGTATCTTTTGGGTTCTCTTGAAACATGGTGGCCTATTTCTATAGGGTATGGTACCATGGACGGTTCTACTTCAATTAGAAATTTGCTTTCCGAAAATACAAGTGTACTTTACTTTCTTTTTCTTCTCGTCTTTATTGCCAAAGAATGAATCTTTTGTCGTTTACATTTGTGTATTATTGATGGGATAATTAATGTATTTTTTATATTGTATATATATTTTAATTATGATTTTTTTTGTCTACATTTCGTCATTCAATTTGTTTTTTTTCACAATCAATCCTTACAAGCGGTTACTCCAGTTTAATCTGACATAATAACTTAATAGCGTAATATAATTTTCAGTTTGTACACATTTAGTAATTAATTTATTTGTGCATATTTAGTCCTTATGATCGGGTTTTTTTAGGTTTTGTTCATGACATCCAATGTGGGATAATGTTGGTGCATTAGTTTTTCTCCAAGCAGAAGATGTCTTCGACTTCGGTTTCATCTATCTCCATAATATACAACGAGATTCTTTTGGAAGTGCAAATTTGAGTTGGGAGAAAGAAATATGTAACACCCTGTTTCAAGTCGTTTCATAATTCGGGGTTGTGACCCGAAGATCAAGTATCATAAGGCTTCGGGCTTTGGGGAAAGAGTGGTTTAGACCCATTTGGATGTAGGTAATGTAGATTATGTGATCCAAGAGTTTGATTTGTGTTGGAGTCAAAGGGTAAAACGGAAAAATTGATGTTTCAGACTTGCATGAAATATGGATTTTTGTTCGGGAAGTTTTTAGACCAAGATATCTACAGAATATTGTGGGGCTCTTCAATACCTTTCTGTGGATATAAAGATCGTCAAAAATGGAATTTGAACGAAGAAGTTATGATCGTTTGAAGTTATGATGGTTTTTGGCTTAGTCTAGTACGCTGGGCATATAGGATATACGTCGGTCGTACTACGCATACCTGGAGTACACTGGGCGTATCTGGAGTATGCTAGGTGTATGCGATCAGAACCCAAACCTTATTTTTATGGTTTGAACCCTATTTAAGCTCCTTAACTTCCCCAAACCCATTCTGTTCTCAGCCTCCACCTCTCCAACACCCTCCCTTGAAAACCCTAACCCTAGTTTGAGCCTTGTGAGCAAAAAAAGGTGTTCTTGAGCGATTTGGAGTGTTCTTGGTGCATCTTGGAGAAGAATGAGCTCTTTGGAGAAGTGTTGGTTGCATTGGAGCTTGTAGATCCAAACTTTGTTCACCTTCGTCTTTCTTCTAGAGGTATAAAGTTTGAATCTTGATGATGCATTTGAAAGATATAGCTAGTCTTGGGTGTTATGAGCTTTTGGTCACTTTAGTGCATAAGTTTTAGATCTTGAAAGTTTATGACCTTGTTATGGATAAAGTATGAAACTTTATCCATCTAAACATCATATTGATTCATATCTAAAGGATTGAGACTTGGACTTATTGGATTAATTTGGAAAAGATGCACTTTCAGTCCCTTTGAGACTTAAAGACTAGATCTTGGTTGTTTGGACTATTCTAACGGATAAAGTTGGAAACTTTATCCATTATGGAGTTATTAGGAACCATAAAAATGTGATCTTGGACCTTAGTTTCCTTCCATGCATGAGCTAGGATGTCTTAAAGAGTTAAGAAGTTAGGATTTTTGGTATTGAGCACTTAATAGTCATGCAAGATCATAAAGTTAGAAACTTTATGATTAAGAATATCATTTAAGGGCTAGATCTGGATTTTGGACGAAAGCGCTTAACGATTAAGCTCTTAATGGGAAGAAAGGGTGGCAGCCGCATATGCTGGGCATACTAAAGGTTACGATGCGCGTACGTGGTCAGCCCCTTGACTCTGTTCAAACGTGTAGTACGCCCGCGTACCTGTTAAGTACGCCCAACATACTTATCGAGTTGACCCGCTTGACATTGACTTTGACTTTTACCAAGTGTTTGACCAAGTTTGACATAGGGGCATTTTGGGTATATTGATAATAAGTTTAGTTTGGTCATGTTCCAATGAATAGGTGACCAGTAGAGCTGATATTTGAAGCAGTGTCTGTTGGGTTTAAGTGTTGCGTCTTTGGGCTCGTTTAATATTCCATTTTGTTTACCCGGTTTGGGCCTGTCCAACCGTGGTCTTTCATTAGGGTTAGATTATATATTATGCATGCATGTATAGCTTTAAGGTTATCGTTCTCATTAATAGGTTTGGCATTGTAACCCTAGCACACCTCTACAGTCGAAGTTCTTCATCGAGCTCTTCTTAGGTGCGAGATATTAATCATTCGGCACCATTTGATCCATTCTTGTGTTCTTTACTCGATTAACATTGTTTTTCTGTTTAGAATCTATCGATCTATAGCACTTTATTCTCATCAGTGTCCTATTCAGCGATCTTTCAAATTGGGAGGTGAGTCTCTTCACTGTACTTATGGGTCGAAGGCACCAATTTCGGTCCATTGGATTATGTTTGTAGGATGATAGTTGTCCTTGTGACACTTACTGTTATGCGTTTATATGATTGTTGTCTTTGTAATTCTTGCTAATATGAATGTATGCTTATCTATAGGGGTGAAATAGACCTGATACTGGTTGAAAGAGACTGAAATGGGTAAAATAGACCTAGTACCGGTTGAAAGATACCAAAGGGGGTGAAATTGACCCAGTACCAGTTAAAAGATATCGAGGGGGGGCGGGGTGAAATAGACCCAGTACCGGTTGAAAGTTACCAAAGGGGGTGAAATAGACCCAATACCGGTTGAAAGATACTGAAGCGGTGAAATAGACCCAATTATGTTTTGACTGTTATGCATGTATGGTATGGGGTATTTTGGGGAACTCACTAAGCTTTGTCCTTACAGTTTTATGTTTATGGTTTCAGGTGCTTTCGGTTCGAAAGGGAATGTCTAATGTTTAAATAATATATTCACAAAGAATCTTGTTATATGCTATGGATATAGATGAAACTTTTTGTTGGGGCGTTCTTTTGTCTTGGAAGTGCAAACTCTTTTCGCGTCTTTCTTAATTATTTTGTCTTGGAAATGCAAGTTTGAATTAGGAGGAAGCAATCACAAAGAATCTTGTTGTCTGATATGCAGATGGATGAAACCAAAGGTGAAGACATTTTCTGCTTGGAGAAAAGTAGGGAATCAACCTTATTTGATCGGTTCATGAATTATATTAATGATATAAGTGATGGACGATCCACGTATAAGAACACCTCATTAATGATTGTGTCAGGCATGATGGCGTGAGCTAAATCTAAAGAAACCGGTTGTAACACCGTAAATTTTCAAACAAAATTTTCATTTTTAAATCACATAATTCGCATTAACACATTTCACAAAAACCCCAAAAAAGTCAATTTATCAAAAACCCAAATCCAGGATCCTCAAAACATAACTCCATCTCGTGTGTACAATCAAGCCGGCGCCTTCCCGCGATCCTAAGAACTACCTGAAACACATATCACATAACACGGTAAGCACAAAGCTTAGTAAGTTCCCCAAAATACCACAAACATCTCAATAGCCTCTCATTACTATATCTCAATAAAGACCCTCCGGTCAATGTGTCTCATTGGAGACCCTCCGGTCCCACAACTCGGGTTGGACCCTTCGGTCCTAACTCAATGAAGCTCAGTATAATATACATCATAAATCACAAGACATAATGCAGGATATCACAATACTCAATAATAGCATACAAGACCCTCTGCTCACACAAAGTTACCACTCACGGTAAGTATAGTGAGAAGACTCACCTTGTAAGCAAGCAAGTAAACCTCGTACCCCTCGAACGGTCTAATCCTCGCCTACATGTCATAATCATCTCTAATTAACACTTATAACCACAACTCTAAATAAATTTGGCCAATCTCTCTCTCTAACTCCTGGAATGGGTAAAAGACCATTTTACCCCTCCATGGTCTCCATAATCCAAGTCTTGACCAAACCTTAAAAGTCAACAGAAGTCAACAGTCCCTGTTGACCCAACTCGGTGAGTGCATCGATGTGACTCGTCGAGTTCCTCCTTTCCT